TGGTTGCGCACCGGCGACATGCACTTGTTGGTCGTCCAGTCGACGTCCGTGGCCTCGCGCTGTGCTTGCGTGAGCGACAGTTGAATGTTGTCGGCGCGGAGCTGGCGCTTGGGCGTCTCGTGCTTGAACGCGCCTTTCACAAACGCCGCAAACTCGTCTTCGGTCATGAGTGCAAACTGGTTGTCGGTCGAGAAGACGGCGCCGCTGTGCTGCGTGTTGAGGTCGTCGACGATCTTTTGCGTCGTCGCAAAGCGCTCGAGCTCGTCGTCGATCTCGCCGTCCTCGAGGTTGCCGTGCTCGGTCTTGGGCGGGAGAAAACCGTTGGCTTCCGCTTGCTTGCCGGCGTGGCTAGCCTTCCACGCCGCGAGCTTGGCGGCGACGTCGACCTTTTCTTGGGCCGAGAGGCGCAGACCGTGGGTCGCTGACGCAGCGAGGAGGAGCGTCGCAATGCAGGAGGAGGTCGACTTCATGGGAGTGGAGCAAATGTGAGAATGCGGTGTGCATCGCGCGTCTGAACGGCAATCTGGCGGGCGCTTACCGCCAGCTTTCCATGATCACACCTGGTCGTCAGAGGATACCATTTCCAACGCGGCCTTTCTAAAGCAAATAGTGTGAGCATGGTCTCCTCCACGCTGGGGACATACCGGTACATTGGATATGCACATTGAAAAGTATCCAGGATAGCGTTCAAACACTCGATTAGCTGAACATTGACGTACTTTGCGAGCGGCAGTAGAGCCGTGCTATCAAGGACCTGTACGATGAGCGAAGTCGAGGATGAACATAACACTATTAGAGTGGAAAGAGCTGGACCGTTGCACCCTTTCTCTCACATTGCCGCAGCATTTGTACGGTCAAAAGACAGCTTCCAGCAAGTCACGTGGCGTTCTGCCGGTGCACGCTCTTACGCCGGCGAATTACTCGATGCTGTAAGGCGTGTACTATCGACTGCATATATGCGAGTACTATAGGTACCAGGTTAGACCTTCGACGATGCTACTACTACAGATGCAAGGCTATGAACAGCGTTTGCAGAGGTCTGGGAGCCCGGAAATGCCCTGGAAATGTGGGAGCCACTGTAGCGCTAGAGATCGACGCAGTCGTGACGAAATTCCACCATGACTGGGGCGCAGAAAAGTCGGCTTCTCCAGCCAGTACACCGATTTTGCAATTTCATCAAAGCTTTTTTCATGTATCCGACAAAACTCCAAGGCATCCAAGTCCTTGAGACCCAACAGGGCCATTATTTTTGGCCTTGGGCACACCCACGAAAGTGGTATAGCGTCTAGTTGCGCCTACTGTTGCCATTGCCATTCTCGCCGTCATTGTTGTTGCTCCAAGGGTCATCGCTCAACGCGGCGTCCGTCATGAGCGCAAACTAGTTGTTTCTTGAGAAGGTCGCCGACCCGTTGTGCTTCTTGTAGAGGTCCGCGACGACCTTCTTGGTGTGGGCAAAGCGCGTGAACTCCGTCTCGAGCTGTTCGTGCGCGTTGAAGCTCTCGGTGCGCGGCTTGGGCGAGAGGAGACCTGCAACATCCTTGCTAGCCAGGCGTTTCTTCTTCTTCGAGGAGCTCGCTGCGCTCCTTGTGGGTCGTTTCGAGCGGATCGTATGACTCTTCCGTGCCGACCGTAGCGTATTGAGCCGGGGCTTTCCAACGCGGGCTGCTTGTCGATCTTGACAAGCAGTGACAAAACAGGTGTTGGACGCATCACTTTTTGCCGGATGTTGGCAAGTATCCGGATGCGCCTCCAGTTGAGGAAGTCAAATCGCAGCTTCGAGTACCGGTATACACTCCGAAGCGACCGGGACGGCAACGACAACACTCTCACAAAGGAATCTCAACGCAGTGCACGGATGTCAGACCTGATTTATCTTCCAACGATCTCGTTTTCCACGCCTCTGTCGCCTTCGCGAGTCTCGGAGGCAGGCCTCTCCACGGTCCGGCTCAAGCCGTGGAGCCGATGGCTCGTCGGTCGCTTCTGCTCCATTTTCGAGCCGGCTCGAAATTGAAATCGAGCCGAGCC